AGTCCCCTACCTTATCCCCTGCTAAATCATTACCAACTATTACATCAACATTAGGGAAAGGTAGGTATGAAGTGACTCCGACTGTACAAACACCCTTGTGGAAATCAGATTCCAGGGTAACCTTATGGAGGGGTACTGCTCGAGTATCACTAGTGACACCCTCGACCAGTACCACCTCTCCAGTGTCGAGAGTGTTGGCACCTTGCAACACACTCTCTAAAATTAAAGTCTGGATGGCACCGGTGTCTCGGAAGATCACCACGTCCTTCCAGGAAGAACCCTCAGACAAAAGTAGTCTCCCTTTTGATAAGAATGGGGTAAGCAAGTCCAACCACTGTGGGTTGGAGGTCTTACTCCCTAACCCTTCCGAAGGCCTCAAGCCCTGTGTCACAACTAGAGCATTGGGTCTTTTTTCCGGGTACAGTTGCCAACAACGGCTAATATTGTGGTTTGAACGATTACAGTGACCACAAAAACGTCGGGGAGAAGAGACATTACTAACAGAATTACCCTTCGGTTCACCCTTAGGTGCCGTGGGGCTAGACACTTTAACAGGGTTAGTTATGTCTGAAACAGAAGGTGCATTAGGTAAAGGGTTAGAATGAGCTGGTCTGGACTGGCTGTGGGTATAAGTTTTGCTACTCTGTGGGGTATAATTATTTTTATTGGGCCTTTTGCCCGCCAATTGGTAGTTTTCTGCCAACTTGGCCAAATCCCCTATTTTAGAATTTAACTCTATCCTTCCTTTAATGTACTGTGAGACATTCTCTGGCATAATATCTATAAAATGCTCCATTAAAACTAAGTTCCTGAGAGCCTCGTATGTTTCGGCTTTCGCCGAGCGAATCCATCTATCAAACAATCTAATTTGATCACTAACAAATTCAGTGAGCGGTTGGTTGTGAGTAGGCCTAAGGTTACGATACACTTGACGGTGAGGTTCAGGAGTAATTTCATATGCCCGCAAAATACATTCCCTGACTTTATCATATTCAAAACACTCGTCGTCAGGCATGTTTATAAAAATATCTTGTGCTTTACCCCTAAGTCTTCCCTGTAGGATTTTCACCCACTCTTCCTTTGGCCAGTTCATGGACATGGCCAATCTCTGAAAATGGTTGAAAAACCTTTCAGGGTCTGACTCGGAAAATTCAGGCAAATTATGCTTTTTCTCATAATGCCTGGGGTTTGAATCCCCGGCAGGTGGAGGTCCAGTGGCATTCGCTCTAATTCTAGCCTCCTCGGTTTTGAGTCTTTGATCCTCTAATTTTATTTTTGCTAACTCTAAAGCTAATTCTCTATCCTTATGAGCTGCACTTTCTGCTTGGCTAGGCTGGCATAAAGGTGTATCACTTGCCAATAGTTCTTCATCAATACAATGTTGTAATATTTCATTCACCAAAGTCCACTTTTTATCCACGTCATTTAATTCTAGGCCTAATTCCTTGCCTAACAATACTAAATTAGACTTGGTAAGTTTCTTTATCTCTACTGCTGAAGGCTCCATTGCCAGTCTCTGCATTTCAGATGCCATCACTAACAATTTTAGCTCCCAGCCAAAGAAAAAATTAAAAAATAAAAATTGGAAAAAAACAAGAATTTGCACGGCCCCTAACACAAGGCCACACTAACCTTAATCGTGAAGAGATCCAGCTGGGTGTCCAGTCAGTGCAAGAATGTCCTTTGCTAGATGAGCTGGACCCTAGGCTAGCACACAACCGTTCTGCGGAAAACAAAAAATTTAAATTTTGGCACTCAAGAATCTAATTTTTTACACTTATAATGTTCCTCCCGGACTGGCCAACCACTTGTTATAAATAATAGCGTGTGTGGGGCTTCTATGGGGGACTGGTACTATTAAGGGGTAAGGGTAGTTAGAAGACAAGAGTATCAAATATGGGAGAGCTAAAAGGCCCGGCCCCCAAAATAAACTATCCACAGTAGTAATAACTTGCTACTAGACCATATATGTTAGTCTAAGGGTTGATCAACGCACTCCCACACTGGAAGAAGGGATACTCTGTAATTCATGTACTTATTTATTACCCCTTAACAACCCCCCATATACACTCACACCAATAACAATAATAGTAATAACTTTACCACACTATCTTACGTTAAAAGCCTTGGTCCACATAGGCAGGATACAAGGTTTACACTAATAACAAGCTAGGGTAAAGTACTACTGGATAAGCACTGAAGCTGGATGCAGCTTAGGGTGGTGAGACCATGTGGTACCCTAATACAAAACACAACACTTAGGGGTACCCAAAACACTGGCAAATACTATCCCCAGGTCTCACCAATATTTACTACCAGAGTAGGCACACTTAACACCATATAATACTTAACTTAAGGGTACAGGAACTTAGGGTAAGGGAAATAAGTAAGAGGAGAAGGGAGGAGATTAGGGGTGCAGCCACAGAGTAGGTCTCGTCCGCACGAACGCCAGCCAGAGAAGAAGGCTCCTAGCGACCAGCTAGCCCTCCCTCATGTCGTGGTGCCAGAAGGAGCCTAATTTATCGTGCAGCTAAGCACATTAAAGATCTTTCCCTATGCAACGTATTGTTACTTTACAAATGATTAGAAAGTATTAGTAAGCAAAGTTGGTGCCTATGTTATTATTTAATAATCAACCCCCCAGCTCAGTCTTTAAATGCTCTTTGAGAAACAAGAATAGTCTTACGTCTGGCAGGGAAGATGCAAACAATTGCCGTTCGTGATGCACTCAATTGTACTATCAGAAAGTTTAATAGCTCAAGTTTTGACCTCTGGTTTCCTCTGGAGAACCCAGGGTCGTAACAAGAACGCTAAGGAATTTGCCATCTATTTTGTTACAAATTTGGGTATTATTTATCCTGAGATTTATTTGATTTGAGGATTTATTGCCAAACAAAATATAGAAAGTTTTGTCAATGTTGAGGGTGAGTTTGTTGGCAGTTAGCCAAAGATGGACTTTATTTAGCTCAGTATTTACTGTGGCATTTAGAGCAAGGGAGGTCAGGACTGGAATAAATGAAGGTTGTGTCGTCAGCAAATAGAATTGGTTTGAGGTGTTGGGAAGCATTTGGAAGGTCATTAATGTAGATGAGAAAGGGGAGAGGGCCAAGTATGCTGCCCTGAGGAACACCAATGTTGATGGGTAGGGTGGGAGAAATTGAATTATTCACAGAAACATACTGGAGCCTGTCAGTAAGATAAGATTTGAGGTATTGCAGGGAGTGACCTCTGACTCCATAATGTAATTTAAGAAGAAGGTTTTGGTGGTTGACAGTGTCAAAAGCCTTACGCAGGTCCACAAATAATCCAACAGGGAATTCATTTTTATCAAGAGCTGCATGTATCAAGTTAATCATACTAATAAGTGCATCATTAGTGCTTTTTTTGGGTCTGAATCCATACTGACAAGAGCTAAGTATATTGTGTTTGGCTAGATAAGAGTAAAGCTGCTTGTAGATTAGTTTTTCAAATATTTTTGACAAGTTTGGCAGAATTGATATGTCTGTAGTTGTTAACATCAGTAAGATCACCACATTTGTGGACAGGGGTTACTCTCGCATTTTTTAGAATATCTGGAAAGGTTTGGAGTTCAAGTGACTTGTTGAAGAGCAAGCCAATAGCAGGGGCTAAAGATCTGGAAGCTTTTTTGTAAATTAAAGTTGGTATCTCCTCAAGGGCACTAGACTTGGTTTTAAGGGAAAGGATTATCTCATTAACATCAGTGGAATTTGCAGGCGTTAGGTACAGAGACTGTGGATAGTTACCGGTAAGATAGTCCTGAACATCAGTACTGGAAGATGGAATATCAATGCAAGGGATGACCCAATGGAAGAGAAGAACCTATTGAACTCAATAGCAGTATCAAAGGCTGTAAGCTGACCATCGTTATTGGACAGGAGTATTGGTTTGTTATTTAAAATCTTCTTTGATCCCAATATTTGAGAAATTGTGCTCCAAGTTTTTTTAATGTTGCCCTTTGTTTGGGTTAATTTATCTTCGTAATATTTAGTTTTGGCTCTTCTAATTAATTTAGATAGCAATAACGAGTAATTCTTTGAAAATTCTTTGGAGACGGTTCCTAACCTATCCTTCTACTCAAGGTCATGTTTTTATTAATGGATTTAAGTATTCCCTTTGTAAGCCAAGGATTGTTTAGCCTTTTGGTTGTGACTTGTTTCGTTAGCATAGGACAGTGGGTGTTATAAAGGCTGAGAGTTTTTTGAAGAAAAGATTGCACCGCTAGGTTGATGTCCTGTATGTTACCTAACTCGGACTCCCAGTTGATATTAGCAGCAGCAGCTATAAAATTGCCTATGGCAGTTTCATTGTGCAGCCTAAAGCTTAACTCCCTTGTCTCTAGAGGTGGTTTGTTAATGTTAGTTAAGAGAAATATGAGGTAATGGTCTGTAGTGCTATCGATGATTATACCTGAAGTAAGCGGAGAGGTTTTGTTGGTCCAGATGTGATCTAGAGTCGTGGCAGTACTATCAGTGATTCTAGTAGGTCTAGTGATTAAGGGTATGAGGAAGCAGGAATTCATACAGTTGAGGAAGCTGGCAGCAGTAGGGTTTTCAGGCTCGCACAGGTCAATATTAAAGTCCCCTGCGATAATTAGATGGTTTTCGTTCAGTCTGTTATCTAGTATTAGATTTCTAAGGTTTGAGTTGAATTCGGACACATCAGTGTTAGGAATTATACAGACTGCACCCACAGACAGCACAGACTCAGCACCCTTGACTCTGAAGCAGGCAAAGATATACTCTTCACAGGAGTCTCTAGTTCTAATTACTTTTAAGCATGTTAGTTCTTGGTGGTAGTAAAGAGCAGTACCACCACCTCTCTGAATTTGACGACAGTTGTGAATTGCTGAGTAGTTAGGCATGTTAAAGAGTTGAGTAGTATCCTTTTTTAACCACGTTTCAGTGCGTATAATAAAAGAGAATTTGTTGTCAATAGTTTCAATCAAGGCACTAACATCATCGAAGTGTTTACTTAGAGATCTAACGTTCAATGTCCAATGTTTCACTGGGCAACTTGCATCTTACAATTACTTTAGTCAACCACTCAGCAGCCTTGAGGTTAACTTTAAGACTTAAAGCCATAAGCAAGGACTCTAACTCCAATCTAAAGGTTTGGGGGGAGTCAGTGGAACTATCGGTTGCTGGTAAGTCCAACAGTTTTTGGACTAGATTTGTAACAGCTCTTTTGGTGTTAGCATAATTGCTCTTAAGCAGATGAACTGCGAGGTCATAGCCATCACTGGTTAAGTTTAAATTGGAGATTACCTTTAAGGCTTCTCCCTTGAGTTGAGCTTGTAAGTAAGTAAACTTAGTGGTTTTGGGGAGAGTGGGTTTAGAATCTGCAGCATCAGCAAACTTGTTCCAAAAGTCATCCCAACTCTCATTCTCGTTTCCAGAGAATGTGGGTAGACTGATACAGGGTAATTTTACTTTTGGCTGTAGAAGTTTTGTGGATGCTGTGGTTACTTTATTTTGGGTAATTAATTTGTTAAAGGATTGTAGCTTAACCTGTACATCATCTTTGAACTGGGCTAGCTCACTCATGATATCGTCTAGTTCTGTATCTGTGATTTGTGTTTCAGCAAGTTCAGACAGATACTGTGTTATTTGAACTCTAATTTGTTCAAACTTGTTATTGGCAATTTGGAAATAACTTTCCAGTTCCAAATAGATAATTGGGATTTGTTGAGACAGATCATGGTATTTGTTGATCTGTCTGGTCAAGTGATCTTTTAGACCGGTAAGGGCCCTTTTAATTTTTCCAGCTTGAGGTAAAGGAGAAGCGTTGCCAGACATGTGACTTTATTGATCAAATAATTACAGTACAGTTACATCCTGCAATAACACAAGCTATGTAATATACAATATTTATATATAGTTTAAGCACTGTCTATTCATTATAACAACAAGAAAACTGCACATGACTAAAGCTAGAATATATAGAAATCAAATTAGTAGTTAAACATTCCACCAACCTGTACACAGGCACGAGACAGCTGATCTGACAACAAAACAGTCAAGCGAGCATCCATCCGGGTACAATAATATAATAACAATTTTACTACATTCACCCCATCTAGCTTTTAAGTAACATAGTCCAGAAGATGTGTAGGGGTACTGCGCGTCCTTCCAGATCGTCAAAGGGACTCATGCAAAGTTGAAGCCTCTAGTGTTCCAGTCGGTTCCTGCATACCACCTTCTCGAGGAAGTGTTATGTCAGAGAAAGGTTCCCAATTAGGTGTTTCTAGGTTAGGTGGTTCGGAACGAAGTAGTTCAGGATGAGGTGTTCAGGATGAGGCAGGTTGGGGTTTACCCCAGCTTTCGTAATCGCTGGGTGTTACTGTTGAATGTTGAGATTGGGGTCCAAACTCCCACAGCCCTCAGTGGCCATGGGTGCGAGATGTCTTAATGATACAGTGGTAATCCTGCCATCTGGCAACTTGACATGGGCGTATTCCGGATTCACGTCTACGACCTCAACCTCATCAACTAGAGGATCATTTTTGCCGCACCTGACGTTTTAGGAGGACAGGGCCTATGCAAGCAAGCCAGGTAGGTAGTGTTCGCCCTGAAGTAGACCTTCTTGTATGCTGGCAGAATTGTTCATGTGGTGTACAATTTGTAGAGGTGCACAACAGTGATCGAATAGAGTGGAGTGCATCAGGAAGAACAACTTACCATTGGGATACATCTAAGCCTCTCGTCCTAAGAGCTTGCAGCACTGTTTTCCAAATAATCCTATTGTATTTCTCAGCCTGGCCATTTCCTCTAGGGTTGTAAGGAGTCGTACGGTTAGTTGCTACCCCCTTTTTTTAGTATAAAATCTTTCAACTCCTCAGACATAAAGGAAGTTCCTCTATTAGAATGTATGTATGCAGACATACCAAAGATTGCAAACAGCTGCACCAGGCACTGAATTACTGTACCAGTAGTCATATCTGAACAAGGGAATGCAAAAGGGAATCTAGAGAATTCATCTACAACTGTAAGAATATATTTATTCCTTGAATGTGATGGAAGTGGTCCTTTAAAATCTAAGTTGAGTCTTTAAATGGCTGAATAGCTTTAATCAAATGCCCAGAGTCAAACTTGCAAAACCAAGGTTTAAGTTCAGAGCATGCAGAGCAAGAATTAGTTATCTTCTTCACTTCTTCCTCCCCACCCTGTCCAGCTTGTTGCTGCCGTGAGGGGGGCTTGGTGGGCGGCTGCCAGAGTGTGATGCTCCTTGGGGCGGTCCCCTGTCCTTTTGTAGCCTTGTGCTCCTGCTGCTGTCCTCACGAATTTTGCTGGACGCCTTTTCTTTTTGTTTCGTTTTTCTCCCCCCACCTCTTCTCCTTTCTCGTCATTTCCTGCTGACCTTGTGCGTGTTTTGATCATTCTTTTGGCCTTCTTTTGTTTTGACGCCCGGGTGTTTGAGGAGGCATATTCTTGCACCCGTAGAACCGTAGTACCCAACGTCTCGAGCGAGGGGAACCTTTTATTGTCAATCCTCCTTTCGTCACTGAACCCGATCTCGACGGATTGACGGTTCTTAACCCTCAAACTGCTATGGGTCCAAATGGCTTAACACCTAAATGGCTTAACACCCACAGGAACAAAAAAAAAAAAAAATAAAAAAATTCTTTCGTTTTATAAAAGTGTTCATTTTTGTTCCCTGATTACGGAAATAATAACAAAAAAATCGTAGGTGGAATAGTTTAGCCGTAATAGGGTAGGGAAGTCTGGCAAAAAAAGAGGCGTTGGCAGAGCCTTCACCAGACAAGGTCTACTCCGCTCGAGCTGTTAGACAGCAGTTGCCACAAATATATTATTACCTAATTATTTCAATGTCTGATTTTTTCTTAGTTTTTTTGCAGTAATTTTATTCAATACAGTGAATTGTGATATATTTATATAATAAAATGTGTGAACCATCGCTGTACTCAAAATTATGGTGTGCATATTAGTAATTCAATTATTATGTTCATAAAACAATAAACAAATAGTTTTGCTGTTATTACACTATATACGTAGGTTATATATAAGTATCTGCATATTTTGCTCACCATAACGAACCACTAAGTTGGTATTGTGAGTCAAAAAGCAACGAGGAGTGACCGCCACACACCAGCCAGCCACTCGCTGCCACTCACTCCAACACCTCACTCGCCCTCATTCTCCTCCCACAATACTGTTTTTGCATTTATTCACTATACACAGATGTTATATATAAGTATTTACATGTTTTCTTCACCATAACTGTACATCTAAGCTTGTATGGTGAGTAAAGGCACAAAGACATAGCTACTCACACAGTCAGCTGGTGACGGCCACCCTCAAGGCCAGACGCACTGATATTTCTCCTCCAACAATACTGTTTGTGGTGTTATTATGCTATATACACATATTATATATAAGTATCTACCTGTTTTATTCACCATACCTGTACAAATAAGCTGGTATGGTGCCCAAAGACCATAGTGGCCACCAGTAAACAACATGATAAGTCGTGCAGACGACGCACCTCTCTCACCAAAATGGCGGCCCCCAACTTACTCCTATTGCTGTTATTACACTCTATACACACATTATATATAAGTATCTACATTTGTGTTCACCATAGAGAACCACTAAGCTAGTATGGTGAGTGCAGTCAATAAAAGGTGACCACACACAGTCAGAAGATGACGCCACCACCCTCCCTCCCTCCCACAGTATTACTCCTCCCTCCATGGAGCACAGCACTAAATATCACCACAATCCTGCTATTATCAGAATCCTGGTCAGTTTTATCACAGTCAAGGGTCTTCTGTAATACTATCATCGCTAAATAATAGCATGAATATATATATATATTATGGCATTTGTAGGCGATGCCATGGTCACAAGCTGAACAGCGGTGCTGTGAGCTCGTGCTGTGTGCGTCAGCCTTGATGGCTTGCTCAATACTGAAGCTCTTACACCCAAGAATATTGTCCTGGATTTTTTTTTCTAGGTGGCATCTGGCAACTATCGGTCGTGGCTGCACTATAGCTGTTTCTATCCCAGGTGGGGCGTTTAAATTATAGCGCTAGACACAAAATCATATATGACATGCGCGGTTTCGGTTTTGTCACTGAAAGCACATGTATATATGATTTGTGCGGTTTAATGGTTAAGGTGGCGTTTGTGGGGCGTATACTCACGACGCACCCCTAGGGGGCCCCGCCTTGATCGGCGATAGCTTCTTGTTGGGTGTCCTACCTCTAATTGTGGCTCCATGGTGGGTGTGGGGGCACATTCGTGAATGAAAGTGTTTCTTTTCGTATTTAAGTCTTTGAATGTTTCTCTTGTACCTTCTCAGGCTCGTTGGGTGGGCGACCAAGCAGCCCCCGAGTCCGGGCTCTGTAGCCCCCGCTGCGTTGGGCTCCGACCTTGCTCCTCCTTTGACCCTCCTGACTACTTCCTTCGCCTCCCCTCCCTCCTCTGTGGTTGGGTCGAGCCACAAGCCCCCAGTGGTGACCACCTCGTCCCCTGGCACGGCTCAGTCTCTAGTTGTGACTATTGCGCCTTTTAACCCCTCTCTCTCTCTCTGGGGGTTCTCAACGCCGTCCGTGCCACGGCTGCACTCGCTTGATTCCTTCCCATACTGATGCGTATCAAGCCTTGTTTGGTCCCGCTTCGTGGGCCAAATACTTTGATCTCCTCCCTCTTGATTCTATGCCTCCTGATGATTTCTCCCTCTATAGGCATCTTGTTGATTCCGTAGATGCCTCTGTTACCTTAAACCCCACCCGTCTCGGTACACGTTTCGTTGCTGCTCCTTCTCAGAATGCAGCCTTCTGCTTGGCTGCCTTGGCGAGACCCCCTGTTTGGGTCTCAAAGAACGCTCGGTTAAATGCCAGTGTTGGCACTATTCTCCTCCCGCTCCATATTGCAACTGGTGTTCGGAATCTGCAGGACTGCCACGATGATATTTGGCATATCCTCGAAGCCCAGGGCCATTCTGTCCTTGAGGTAGACACGTTTACTCGTCCCCCTCGTAGTTGTCGCTGACAGCCCCTTCGGGTTGTGAAGATTACCTTTGATGGTAGAACCCTTCCGCCCTCTGTCATTCTTGCTGGTGCCAGGTGCTCTGTCCAGGAGTACATTCCCTCTCCTTGGCTCTGTAATAGGTGCTGGAGGTTTGGGCATGGTGCCCTCCGCTGCTCTGGGACTGTCTCTCTCTGTCCTTTGTGTGGGGGCGAAGGTCACTCTAAGTCGGAGTGCACTTCTCCCCAGGTTCGCTGCCTCAACTGCGGTGAGGCCCACCTTACCTTCTCCCGTGCATGTATACATTACAAGCTTGAGGCACCCGTCCTCAACTTGAAGCACTGGGAGCGTTTGACTTTTCCTGAGGCGAGGCACCAAGTTCGCCGTCTCCCACCTTATGCTAACATCTCTTATGCTTGTGTGTTGCGCTCTTCCTCTCCTCGTCCTTCCCACCTTCCTCAGACTCCAAACCATTTCCAGCTCTTGTACCCTGACATGCCCACAGTCCCCTCCTCTGTTCCTTTGAGTTCTGTCCCGAAAGGTCCCCCTCCTGGTCCTCTGTCTGGGGTTCCCCTTCTTTCTGCCCAGTCTGTCATGTCTCCTGTGTCTTCTTCCTCGTCTCCCGCCGATCCTCCTTCCCATCCTTCTCCTCCGTCTGTTGGCTCTCCACACCGCCTGTCAGTACGGGCTGATGTCCATCGCTCTCCCAACGGCCGTCGTGTATGCTCTTGTTCAGCTTCTCCTTTTGAGACGCAGGAATCCGTTGCCCAGTTCGTAGTTGCTGGGACAAATGTCTCTTTGAGTCA